ATGTGAATCAGTACTCCGTTCTGAATCATTCCAAACAGAAAGATGCGAACTCGACCGCTATTCGTATGCTGTGAATGTGTTCAGAATTCCTAACATTCTGATTCACACTTGGTGCCGCCGGTGAGACCGGTAATCGCGAGCCAACGAACAACTTCGCCATCCACAAGTCCAAATTTTTCCGTCGGAACACCATCGGCATCTACACGCAAAAATCTCTATTTGGAATAGATTGATTTACGAATCCCGACGGTATGCCGACGGTAGATCGGAAGATCATCTGCCCGGAGATAAAGAACTCCGAGGGCTGGACGATGTGGAAGCATAAAATCAAATCGATGATGAGCATGGTATTGGAATTGGACGCACAATGGCAGGCAATTTTGAACGACAACACCCAGCAGACGAACTTTCAAAATGTTCAGCCTGGATTGACAGCACAGCAAAAGCAAGATGTGTTTTCCCTCGAGTCCACATTTTTGAATGCATTGCAAGACGACGCAGCAAAATTGATCACGAACAGCCAGACAGTGGGTTTTGTAAAATGTTACTTCCTTCTGTCATCGCACTGGGATCAGAAAGCATCTTCAATTGACAGTGACACAACCAACAACGAATTGATTACTGTCTGCTACGACATGGAGAAGGATGGAGATTTTTCTATTTGGATCTACGCAGAAAAGTACAGCAAAATCCTCCTTCTGAAAGACAGATACCCAGATGCGGCTGCGATCAATCGTCAGATGTGGGATGTCCTCAAATTCCGACTTGACCCGACTTGCATGAAGACAATCATGGCGGAGATCAGAAACTTGAACAGTACTACTGCGACTTGGGAGAAAGAAGGACTGGCAATGGTGATGGATTTCATCAAATCAGGCAGAATGAATATTGAAAAGGAACAGCAAGCGACTTTGCATTTAGCACGATCGAACGTCGCCCCCGCGAACGCAAACCCCAATGCGTTTCTTGCTGGTGCATCGTCATCATCTGCTTCTTCTTCTTCCAACAAAAATTCCAACTTCATCGTCGCACCGGAAGGCGCGACCTTCGAACAGCAATTGATGTGTCAATCCATCAATAACCAAACCGCTTTAGTTATGATGAATAAGGGTCACAAAGGACAGGGAAAACACAACAACAAAAACTACAATTCCAATACCTATGCGAATCGAAATCAGCCCTATGGTAACAACGCGCAGAATCAAGGAGGCCTCTGGTGTACGTATTGCCAACGTCCAGGACATGACGTTCACTACTGCTATCGCAAGAAACGCCAACAGGAGAAGAACACTGCCCCACCACCCGCGAACAACTACGGCAACAACCACAAGAAGGGCGGTGGTGGTGGCAAGGGCGGTGGCAAACACGGCGTGAAGAAAGGTGGCTACAAGTCTCACCAGAAGGGTCGCAAGTGGTGACATAAGGACCACGATTCTGCTGATGATGTCGATGATAAATCGATGCTGATGGATTCAAATCACGATGTGAAAATCGATGCTGAGTTGGAATCAAATTTCGTTGATGTGTCGAAGAACACTGATGAAAAGAGCGATGTATTTGATGACGACGACAACTACTATTCGTGCTTTTACACAAGTCACGATGCTACTAGTTACAATCAAAAATCGTTACTGTGCAAGATCGATCAATCAATGCCGATTATAGAGTGCAAGATCAACAAATCCATTTTGGATGAAGGTTCGGCTGAGGAAAGAAAACAGAGGACAAACAGGGATATCCTCGACAGTGGCACTACTCATTACGTGTCGAGTGTGCTTAGCGATTTTGTGTCCTTTCGCTCCAATCCTGTGAAAATCAATGGAGTCGGAGGCACTTTGCAAGCGAAAAATCCTCCAAGGATAGGTAGGCTGAAGACGAATCGACTTGGTTACTCAGTAGGTATTTTTCACAGCGCTTTGCCCGTGCGCCGCCTTTTACCTACAACCACCCTGAACGCAATGGGTTGGTCCGTAAAGCTAGAGCCAAAAGCAGTAGCCAAGTCTGAGATAGTTTCAAGATTCGCAGATGTCGCAGTGCCATTAGAAAATAACCCGCCTGACTTACCATTTTTGCCTGATGGTGAGCTTTTCGGCACGGGTGTGGCTTTATACTGCAGAGAGTTTGAAGAGGTTTTGTCAGAGGGCGACGCTTTGTCTGCGTCGCGTTTCAGTTGCAATCTTTTCACGCCTGATTGCTTATCCAACTGCTGCAAAAAGCGTCGCGTAGGACAGCTCGATGAGTCTGCTTCTATTTTCACTGGAGATGCCTTGGCCGACTGCGTAGAGGATTTTGAGCATTTATGCTACTTGTCCAAGTTAGACCGACACCGAAGACGTGGCCACATCCATGTCCCAGGTGAAGAGGTGTTTTGCCCTGAATGCGCCCTCGCAAAGGGTGGCAGGTCAGGTGCTAGGAAAGAACGACCACAGAAGTACTCTGATCCAACACCGCTAAAGCAACTTGATGCTGACTTTTGGGGTCCAGTCAAACCCGTCAGCTTGACAGGCAATTCATGGCTATTGATTTTCATTTGCCCTGCTGTTGCGCGTGTGTTTGAGTTCAAGTTGAAGCACAAAGATCAGGCCTACGCAGTCGTAGAACGGCTAATCAAGCAACTTCGCGCATCGGACAGCATCGACTTGACAGATAAGGTCGTATGGTTTGTCCGCAGTGACAACGACCCCACGTTCAGAGCAAAGAAGTGGGAGGATACGCTCCAAGCGCTCTCCGTTTTTCGGCAGCACTCAGTCCCATACGTACCACAGAAAAATGGTGTGTGCGAACGCTTCATGGGTACTCTGGGTCCCGGTTTAAGGGCTAATCTAGTAGGTGTCGACTTGAGACTTTGGGAATATGACGCTTCTTACTTTGTATACACGTGGAATCGCTTACAGCGGAAATTCTACAAGCGCGCCCCTCAGTTCAATGGTCTCTCACCTTTGGAAGCTTGTCGACAGAGGAAGTCACTGCAAAATGACCGGAAAGTTTCTCGCACAGAACCCCAAGAGCCCGATGAGATATTGAAGACTTCGAATTTTGACTCCAGGATGCGTCGCTTCGGTTGCCTCGCTTATTTCCTGAGACAACCAGTAGAAGGGGTCAAGAAACTTGTAGAGAAGTACACGAAAGGAGTCTTTCTTGGGTATTGCGATCAGTCCTCATGCTATCTAGTTGGAACTTACGTTAAGGATGATCGATACTCCAAGGCCGGCGCTTTGCGCTGGGCAGTTTACGAAACAAACGCCGTGAAGTTTGTCGAGTCAGTTTTGATCGACAATGTTGACTCTCTACGCCCAGGGTACCGCGGTGGCGTCGTAGTTTCAGACGACCAGCTCCTGCAGACTATCTGTGGCTCGAAGGACAATGCCCGGGTGGTTGGTTCTGATCGGGATTGTGCTCCTGTGCGCAAGAATCCTGGTGGTTCAGAGGTCTCAGGTTCTGGGGGGGTTGGCGGGTCCAACTCCCTGCCACTTTTAGAAGTCGAGAAAGCAGCTTCACAAGAACACGCCAATAACGCATCCTCTGCCTCGTTCAAAGACATCAATCTTCAGTCAAATCAGCATGCCAGTGGTGACAATTCGCAAGTACAAAATCCGCATTCCGCACCTGATTCAGTTTCATCGCGCGCGCCCGCCCGAAACACGGTTGAACACCATGAGCCAGACCCTGAAGTGGTCTTTGGTCGCGAAAAGACCAAGCGCCCGCGCGGTAGGCCCAAAGGGGCAAAGGACAAAACGCAACGCACGCGAAGAACAAAGCAGCAATTGTCCGAAGCCGAGAACTCAGATGCGTTTTATGCCGACTTTGCAGAAGTGATCAATGATTGTTATGTATGTGACAGCGTCGTAGACGATTTCGAAGAGGGTGAAGAGTTAGTCGAAGCACTTCCACAGTTCGCGAACGTTGCCGCGATGAGCTCGCCAGATGCGCCGCACTGGTTAGAAGCCAAATCCCTCGAGAAGTGCAAGCTTGAGGCGTTTCAGACGTGGAGAGTGCCTACTCCAGAAGAGTTAGAACGCGCTAAGACCACAGGCGTGGTCCCGATAGCATTGGTACTTACCCGCAAGCGTTGTGGCAAGTTCAAGTGCCGTGCTGTCGTATTAGGTAATCTCTACAAGCCCGGCGGTGAGTTAGAAGTTTACGCGCCCGTAATCAGCTTTGGAGCCTCGCGCTACCTGCTGATCGATGCCGCCGCGCATGGTGATGCCATAATTTTGTTTGACATTGACAACGCATTCGTACAGAGCTTGATCGATTCGGAAATTTTCATTCGTCTGCCAAAGGAATGGCGTGAGCAAAACGACGATGGTAATCGGAAGCTAGTTCGTGCCCTTTATGGGTTACCACAATCCCCGAGGCTGTGGGCAAAGCACTACGAAAAGAAGTTAGTCAGTCTCGGTTGGACACAGTCAACAGAAAAAGGGTTGTGGAGAAAGCTCTCCAAGGCCACAGGCAACAACTTCCAGAGTTACAAGAAGTTCAGTAAGTATATGAAGATGGGAGTTTATGTAGATGACAACACCGCAACAGGCCCGGACGAGCACGAGCTTAGGCATGAAGTCAGTTTGATTTTGAAAGAGTTTCCTGGCAAGATCATTGAGCCCGAACACCAGCCAAATGGTGATCTTTTGTATGATCAGCTCGGTGCAGAAGTCCACTACAACCCGAACAAGTACAAAGTACGCATTTGCATGCAGAGTTACATCCGAACAAAACTAGCTCCGAAGTTTGGCATGGTTGGTTGTAAGAAAGTTGACAATCCATGCTTCACCGAATCAGCTCTGTACGATACCGCCTCGCCCGAAGTGAAATTCCCGTTGCGGGAAGCTGTAGGTGCCCTGCAATGGTGCGTAACGATTTGTAGGCCCGACATCGCGCAGCCCGTTAACTGCCTCGCAAAGGTAGCAAGCAAGCCCTGCACCAAAGCA